CTATTTTCTCCAGTCCTTTTGTCTTCTAGGACGTTGTCTCCCTTCCCCGCACAGTTCAGTTTAAAGCCCTCCTGGTGGTTGAGATAATATGCTCTCAGTGCATAGTGAAAGCATATGCATCCCAATCATCACATCATGATACCTTCTTCTATTTCCATTTTTTTTTTACATGTAAGGAAACATCAATATCAAGGCATTTAGTGTCTAGTTTGATCTACTCCTGAATGTTAAGTCTAGGCCATGTGTTGTTGTTGCTGCTGCTGCTGCTGTTGTTGTGTGCCTTCAAGTTGTTTTTTGACTTACAGCGACTCTAAGGTGAATCTATACTGGGGTTTTCTTGGCAGGATTTGTTCAGAGGAGGTTTGCCATTGCCTTCCCCTGAGGCTGAGAGAATGTGACTTGCCCAGGATCACCCAGTGGGTTTCATGGCCAAGCAGGGAATCGAACCCTGGTCTTCAAAGTCATAATCTAGCACACAAACCATTACACCACACTGACTCCTTAGGCCATATATGCTTACAGAAATAATAGTACTTATTAAAAACAGACAAAACAAGAACTTTAGCTTTTGTAAGGTTGATTCCAGATTTATTCATATGAGGGGGTGCTAAAAAATTCTTGGCCCAATTAAAAAACGAATGATCCAGAGCCATGACACTTACATGCTATTCCACATATTAATCCTAAAATTCAACAGACTTGGCAAATCATTGCTCAAGTTTCTTTAACTCTTCAAAATAAATTCTGATGTCTGTTCATTGAAATTTTGCTCTGTTGCAGTATCATCTGAATAATTTGAAAATGTCCATCTTTTCTTCAAACTCTTTTTAAGGTCTGGAAACAGGAAATAGTCAGATGACCAAGATCTGGTGAGTCGAGTGGATGATCTGCACTCAAACCCCAAATTCTTCAAAGCATCCATTGTCTTGCCAGTCTTGTGAGCAGGTACTTTGTCCTGCAAAACGAGAACACTTTCTGCAGCTTCCCTCACTACTTTTCTTTCAGGGCCTCCTTTAATTTGGCTCTTCTGAAGATAGTCAGTCATCAAAATGCCTTCCTTATCCCAAAAAACTTCCCAGCTCTTGAATTTCTTTGGCCAGAGGGAACCTGAGTACCGCCACTGCAAGGGCTGTTGTTTGGTTACAGATCATAATAACCATGATTCATCACAAGTGATGGGTTATTCCAAAAAATTATCACTACATCTCTCAAAATGCTCCAGAATCAACTTGGAGGTATCTACTCAATTTAATTTCTGGCCAGCATTCAAACATTTCAGCATCCACTTGGCTGACAGCTTCTGCATAGCCAATTGCCCATGAATGATAAACCCAGTGTAATCTTGGGATATCCCTATTGTCTCAGCAATTGTTTTTGTTGAGATTTGTCAATCTACCAAAATCAGGTCATGAACATGCTCAACAATTTCAGGAGTTGATACTGTTAAAGGTCTCCCAGACCTTGCTGCATCTTTGGTCTCAAAATCTCCATGCTTACCATTTATTCACAGTCTGTCAGTATGACAGACACTTGTCACTCAATTTTTGCATCATACCCTCATGGATTTTCTTTGATGTTTTCTTCTGCAGGAACAGGAATTTCATGACAGCCCAGAATTCAGCACTTGACATAGTTCTGCCAAAGATCTGAAAAAAATCAAAAAATAGAACTATGGTCTTGCAAATTGACAAAAAATAAACCCTTTCAAATTTCAGACAAAAGTATGCTCAGGTTTTAGGAAGTGGGTCAGGCCAAGAACTTTTCAGCACCCCCTCATATTTAAAGCAGACCCTGAGGATTTCAGTTGATCTTCTCTTAATATATCTAAATCTGGAACATTACAGTAATTTTTCACAATTTGTTGTTGTTGTTGTTGCAGCAAATCTTTTTAAAAATGATATTATGTTTGCTTATGAAGCAATGACTGCACATTAATTATGTAAATCTATCCAGAACTTGGAAAAACTACCTTTTAGACTACAACCCCAAGTATCCCCCATCAGAAGTGGCCATTCTGGCTGGGAAATTCTGGGGATTGTAATTTTAAAAGTAATGTCTCAAAGTTTGGATTCTATCAGACAGTTGTTGCTAAAATAGTTCCCAGATTGATGCTGAAATGTGTCTTTTAGGAAAGATCCATGCAAACTAAATTGCACTGAGAATGCATTTTATTATTTGACATCTGAGAATCTACATCTATATTGTTTGCAAGAAATATATTCAAGAGAAAGAACCATAACTAACACATGAGAAGTGTTTAGAAACTAGCTGCATTAAAGCCTATATGAAGATACAGTAGTTCTATAATCCAGATCTGGTATGAATCAAAAGTAAGGGTCAGGTCAGATTAGAGGTGTAGATCAGAATATGGGCTACTGTACAATTCCTTATCTCCCAGCTAGCAGACATGTTTGCTGGGGGAGAGTCAGAATTGTGGATCGAAAAAGGGACTTTTCCTAGCTGTGATGTAGATCCTATTATGGCCAGAGGTCTTTGTTGTTCTGAGTCAAGAGCTTCTGTACATCTTGGGAACTTGTCACGTGGAGGCAAATTGCTTAAATCCTGTGCAGAAATGGGTTTTAAAAATCCGGGAAAAAAATGCAAAAGTGGCTTGTTTTTCAGACGTATTTGTGTAAAGGAGAAATAATGCAACATTAATCCAAACAGAAAGTCTCCAAAGCCCGCTCCTTTTTACTTTTGGAAATTCCCAAAAGTAAAAAGGAGCAGGTTTTGGCGACTTTCCATTTGGATTAATCTCATGTTATTTCTCCTTGACCACCAACGTTGGACGTTTTCACACAGGCGGCTCTAAAGCCGCCTGGAAGCCCCCTGGAAGCCATCAGGAGTCATTCCGGCGGCGAAAACAGCAGCCGCCTGAATGACTCCTGATTGCCTCCGGCAGAAGCGCCTGTAATTCCTTTTTAAAAAAGGAATTAAAAAGATGGGGCTAAAGCCGACTAGCGGCAGGGATGGCGCAGGGATTGCGCAAGATGGGGCGGGGCTTGCTGCGATGTCGTATGAACACGACGAGCAAGACCCCGGAGTGAGGCAGGGATGGCGCAGGGATGGCGAAGGATGAGGAGGGGCTTGCTGCGACGTCGTGTGAACTTTTCCTGCACGGAGCCGGAGTGGGGCCGGATGGAGGTAGGAATGACTCCCTTTTTTGCCCCGTGTGAAAACGTCCGTTGTGTGAAAAGCAACCTGCTTTTGCAGGTTGTTTCTACTTTCTGTTTGGGATAACCCCAAATGTAGTGTGAAAAACAACCCGCTTTTGTGTGTTGTTTTCACTTTAAATCCCGTTTCTGCACAGGATCAGTCCCATGTGATAAACTCCTTGGAACAGTTGGATGCACAGTTGCAAAGCAAGGAACATAGTTTCCAGTCCTCCAGCAGAGGCTGCTCATGCATTAGAATAGTGCTGAAGTTAACCTAAACTGAAGGAGAACTAACAAGGCCTCATTCAGTTTATCATGATATCAATTGTTGTCCAAGGCCAGTTCTTGCATACATTTGGCAGCATGGGGAAGAAACTTCTTTAAGTAGATTCCTAGGCCCAGTATGGACATGTATTAAAACACATTTTGCTTCTTGCTCTTGACATAGAGGTTATAACTCAGGTTTTGAATATTTTCATTCAAAGCAATTCAAAGTCAAAAGGTTTCCATGCTACCTTGGAGATTTTAGGGGTGATAATGTAATGGAGGGTAAGGTCCTAAAAACCCTAAAGGTGCCAGATCCAATCTGATCTTGGAAGCTAAGCAGGGTCAGCTCTGGTTAGTAGTTGAATGAGAAAACACCAATGAAGACCAGATGCTGTAGAGGAAGGGACTGGCAAAACCATCTCTGAATATTCTTAGGCAAGTATCCTTGCCTAAGAAAACTCTTATGAAAGTTTTGGGGTGACCATAAGGCGACAGGCAGCTTGAAGGCACACGGGCACACATAATGTAATAGACTTCTAAAAACAAAAATTCCCCATGTACTTATAGCTAGGAATGGGACAACATGTCCATTTCTGAATATCGTAAATCTCAATGTCATTCCATTGCAAATTGGCAATGTTCTCATCAAAAAGGTACCGAACAGAAGAACTCTTGTCCACCTAGACTGGCTAAATTAATTAGGAATATTTATTCTCAGCATGGAGAATATTGTAGCATCTTATAAGAGGCATTAAAGATGAAGATATTCAGACAAAAGGGAGATAGCAACTGGATTTCTGTGCCCCTTGAATGCATGGGTTCACGCCTAGACTTAAAGGCTAAGTACTCCAAGCTTTTTCCTGGATAAATTAATCTCTCATTGCCACTTTCTCCCCCGTTTTAACTGTTTAAATTCCACGTTTTGTGTTGCAGAAATGAAGAACTTTGTGAATATTATGGATTTCTTATATAGTGGGCTCTTGGTATCTGCTAGGGTTGTGTTCCAGGACTCTCCCTCCATGGATACCAAAATCCATGGATGCTCAAATCCCATTAAATACAATGGTGTAGGAAAATTGTGTTCCTTATATAACATAGAAAAATCAAACTTTGCTTTTTGGGATATATATATATATTAAAAAAAATATTTTCAAGCCATGAATGGTTGAATGTGTGGATAAAGAATACATAGATATGGAGGGCTGACTGTATAACAAAACTCTCATCCCTACTTTTAGTATAGTGATAAAGTGAGAATGAAAAATTCTAAGTCTTCTTTGCTGGGGCAGATTATAGCATTTTTGCTCATTTAAAAAGTGATTTAGTACTTGCAATGTGTTTTTTTAAATTAGCAATAGTTTTCATGCAAAATACAAGGCTTTCTGCACAAAATACAAAAAAGGGGGAATGGTTTAAAATACTGATATTTTTTGCTCTCTCACTCACTCTTAACCATTTTTATGGCTATCTCGGTGTGTTGCAATGTCCTGCTTAATAGAGTTTGCATATATTCATGATATCTCTACCTGTGACTCATTATTTTTTTCAGATATGTGCATTGCCACAGCGATTTCTCTTCTCATGATTCTCATCTGTGCAATGGCCACGTATGGGGCATATAAGGTAATGCATTTTATACTTTATCTTAACCAACTTGTATAAAAGTTAATGAATAGTATTTGTAGACAAAGTAAATGATGAATTCAGGGAGAATAACCTAATTGCTCTGTATAAAATGCTTGTCATATGAAGTTGCCATGAGGATCCTGTTGGGGAAGGCATCAACATTGTAATCTATACAAGTGCACACAAGCAGAGATGATATCATTTAAAATACCTAAACAAGGGACAGGCAACTGCCCAAATACTTCTATTTTCCTCTATAATTCCTCTCAAAATGGCAACTGGAAATGACATCACATCATTTCCAGTTACCATTTTGAGCAGATCAGCTGAGAAAAACTGAGGTGTTCAGAGGTAGTAAAGGTCCTACGGTTTGTTCAGGTCAGGTAGTGGTGTTTGTATTTAGTTTTCATTCATTTAGGGGATTTTCTGCCCAGTTTTCAGCCAAATGTT